GTCTCTTGCAAACAACATATAGTTGGTCTTATTTTTTAATTTATTCCATCATCCTAGGTCTTTTAATTGCACAGTTGAAGCCATTTATATTCAATGTTACTGTAGAGACGTATTTATTAATTCCTTCCATTTGGGTTTATTGGTAATTTTTACTTTGGTCCTGTTTCTCATTTCCTTAGCTACTCTTCAAGTTAGATTTGTTCATTTGTGAACTCTGGGGTTTGTCTTTCATTTCTTCTATGTAGAGTATTTCTTTAAGTAAGTTCTATAGTGACAGCTGAGTAGTCATAAATTCTTTCAATTTCTGCTTATCTTGAAAGGTTTTTATTTTATTATTTTTTTTATTTTGAAAGATAGATTTTCTGGATAAAGCAATCTTGGTTGACAGTTATTTTCTTTCAGGGCTTGAAATACATCCTTCCAAACCCTCCTGGATTCTAGAGTTTATGCTGAGAAATCAGAAGTAACTCTGGTTGGCTTGCCTCTAAATGTGACCTGATGTACTCTTGAGGCTTTTAAAATTCTATCCTTGTTCTGTATGTTAGGCATTTAATTATAAATTTTGATTTTGTCTGTTTGGGGTTCTGAGTGCTTCCTCTATCTGGATATCCATCTCATTCTCAATGTTTGGAAATTTTTCTATTATTATTTCCCTTAAATGATCTAGATTGAGACCCCCTTATAGGTGTGGTGTACACAATCTTTGTGTTAATTCTGTTTTATCCATTTCATTAGCCTGCATCTCACAGTTCTCAATTCCAATGATTTTTAAATTTGATATCTTAACGTTGTCCCAGAGTTCTTGTATATTCTAATCATGGTTATTTATTTTCTTTTCTTTAATACTGTCTGAATGGTCAAGGGTAGCCACTTTGTCTTCCAGATCTGAGATTCTGTGTGCAGCATGGTCTACTCTATTAGAGAGACTTTCAACTGAATATTTTATTTGATTTATTGTGTCTTTCATTTCTAAGATTTCTGTTTGATTCGTTTTTAAGATCTCTATCTCCTTATTGAATTTCTGATTCATATCCTGTACCAACACCCTGAATTGCATTCACTTGTTTTTCTGTGTTCTCTTGGAATTCATTGAGCATTTTAAATCCTTCTTTTGAATTATTTATCTGGTATTTCATCCACTTCAGTATCTTTGGGGTCAGCTGCTGGTGAATTATGCACTTTAGGAGGTGTCATGTTATCTTGTTTTTTATATTTCTTGTATTCCTGTGTTGGGTTTTATGCATCTGTTGGGATAGATTTCTCATTCATTATTATGTGTTGACCTTTTGGGGGCACAGCCTTCTCTTGCCCAAGTGTCCTAGCGTGATCTAGATTGAGACCCCCTTATAGATGTGCTATACACAATCTTTGTGTTAATTCTCTGTTTTTGCTGTAGCACTTGATGTCCATGAGTGGGACCTCAGGGCCCAACCATAGCTATTCCTACTTGGGGCTTGGTCATTGGTTTGGGTTTTGGCTCTTCTATATTTTGTATTAAAGTATAGATGAAGTTTGAATGTCATTGATTTGTGTGTGGAGCAAGTTGTGCTGTCTTTTGGCCAAGTTTAGTTCAGCAGAAGAGTCTCTATCCCGTGAATTTGTAGTGCCCCTGTAGGTTCTTAGCACCCCACAAGATAGGGAAAAACAAACAATAATAACAACCAATACAAACAATATAAAGCATTAAAATAAGTATCCAGTTCCTACTATGATATCTGCAACATTAATTACCACCAAAAAAAAGAAAAAAAGAAAGAAAAGACAAGAAAAAGAAAACAGGAATGGTGGGGTCAGCAATTGTCAATAGCAAAAACAACAAATAACCATGAACTAGATCTGGCTTTAAAAGAAACAGAATCAACTATGTCACCCACATAAAAAATAATTGCTACAAGATGAGTGGTGAGAACAGGAGTTAGATAAATCAGTTAGCTCTAAAAAATGGTAAAAATACAGTGAAGAGAAAGAAAAATGTGATAGAAAGGTAGAAGATAGTTTAAAATGTTTAAAAAGTGAACAGAGAATGCAGAAGAGATGTAACAGGTGATGTTTATAAGGAAGGAGGAGAAAATAAAGTAAAAAGAGAGAGAAAGAACAAGAGAATTCAGCTCTTAGCAGGAGAAGAGAAAGAGAAACAAGATACAAACAAACAGAAACAAAACCAAAATAAAATTAAAAAAACCAAAACCCCTAACCCCCAAAAGATAATGCAATGAAAAATAACTATATTTTCAAATGTTAAAAATGAGAAAAAATAAACATATATATCTATATATGTTCATAAACAAATCAGCACAGCAAGAACATCAAAACACACACAGACACACACACACACACAGACACACACACACACACACACACAAAACTAAACTGAAACTAAAACCAAAATGGCCAAAGGCAAAAGATTATTAATGAAAAATGAAGGAATCCTCTCCATTGAGGCAGTCAAAATAGTCAACAAGAATGGATGTTTACTGTCTATGCCCAACTCTGCTTCTTTCAGTTTCTTCATGGGTTATGTAAAAAGAAAGAGAGACCAAGGGCTGGAGTTTATTAACCCCTTTCTCTTTTAGTGCTGTTTACCAAGCTGCTGATTGCAGTGGTCTAACACTGGGGCTAGTTGAAATAGCTCTCAGCTTTCCTTCTTACCAGTATAAGATAGGACGGAAAGGGAGATACTGTTAATTTAAGTTTTGTCTTCACAGACCTGATTGACGCACTCTTGAGTTGGAGTAGAGAGCGCTGCAGAGTCCTTTGAGGGTCTTACAGCAGCTGAGGTTTAAGTCTAATTAGGCCTTAGGGGCTTTGTTGGGTGATATCTGCTCTAGAAAGATTAGATCAATATAATCCTAAGCCCCCCCCCAGAAAGTTTCCTTATCTCTGCTAGGAGTCTAGATCTTGTGAGCCTCCCCGGAATTCTACTCCTGGGCCAGGGAAGCTAATCCTCCACACACTCTGCTGCCCAGCAACACAGCCTTCCCAGGTTCACTCCCTGAATATATGCACACGTGCCTGCTCAGATTCCTGACCCACTTTAGCTGCTTATGTGAGCCTCCCCAGCAAAGGAGAAGCAAGTTGTGCTCCCCTTCACTCTTCTGACTTGAATCCCCCTGGGTACAATCTTCCCTGTGCCTATTGCACTCAGATTTTGCTAGGTACACACGAAGTTTTCCATAGGTGCTTGCCAAGACAGTGTTTGCTCAGATCTCCTGGTTCCTACAGCAGCAGCTGCAGCATGGCCACCTCAAAATGGCTCCACCTCAGTTCTCCATGGCCAGTTGGGAAACACTAGCACTTTTCAAACATCAGTTCACACTGCAACCTCTGGATCAACCAAGTTCAGGCTGCTTTAGGATCTGAGGATTTTCTGTACCAAATCTGCTCCTTGTGTTTCTGGGTATTATCTCTCCCCTCCATGGTGAACCAGTGCCACTGCCATTGCCACCACCAGCTTGGCTCCAATGTATTCTTTCTTCTCAGTTCAGTGCACCCACATTTCTGAGTCTCTAAGACACTTTGACTGCCCAATATTGAATTTTAGTAAAATCCCTTTTTCACATATATAACTGCAAAGGAGCACTCCTGCTGTGTGAATCCCGAGCCACAGAGCAACTAGGAATGCAGCCTTCTTCTAATTTGCCATCTTGAATCTCCCTCTCTAGATGAGCTTTTGAAAGAAATGTCAAATACATTTGGGTCAATTTGCAGTTTGGCTAGACTTTGTATTTGGTTACCCATTAATGAAAACAAAACAAAACAAGAGTCCTTAAATCTTTAATTTCAAAAATTACAAATCCTTTTAATTGCATTCATTTTCTCTATTTTAATATTTCTGTTTTATTCAATCCTCAGTGCTTTTTATCTCTTTATATTCAGATATTTTGCTTTCTTGTTATTCCCCTTAGTTAAACCAATCTGTTGATTCATCTTTTTGAGTCTGATTTAGTAGGTCTGGGGGCCTGAGAATTTGCATTTTAGCCAGTTGTCAAGTGATGCTGCTGCTGCTGGTCTGGAGACCACACTTTGAGGCCATCACTCTTGATCTTGTCTGCACAATAGAATTACCCTGGGATATTTTCAAAAGGACTAATGCCTGAAAACATCCCATCACTCCTTCAACTACTTGCAAGAGTCTCAGACTTGCAGCCCCAGGTGATTCTAGTGTTTAGCCAAGGTTTAGAGTCTCCAAGGATCCAGTATTTTTAGACCTTGCAATTAAACAGAATACCTAATGGTAGTATCTTTGTCGGTCCCACATCCATAATTCAGGTAAAAATGATTTTTAATAAAGTTCAAAACTCGTACTGTCTTTCATACCTACTTTCAGGAAGGCTAGACCAGCTTTAACTACTGGTCTTTTCTTGTACTTTCTACAAGCCACAAGAACTAGACAACAAAATCCATTATCCAAACATTTTACTGCCAAGTCTTGGAAAGTTCTAGCCTGACAGTATGGACATCTTAAGTCCAAAAGACAATAAGTGATGATTTAACCAAAGAATTGTAACTATGTTTTAAAAAATGACCAGCTTCCAAGTTGTGAATAGCTTGTTTTCCTGTCCCCCAACCCATCTCCACTTACCCAGTTTCACACTCTAAAGTTTATTTGCAATATTCTGCTATGGGATCCAATTCATAGTATTACTTAGGATTCTGGTTTCAAATTACAAGAACACAACTTTCACCAAGTTAAGCCTAAGAGGGAAAATTATTATAAGGATAAAAGAGTGTATCAACTAGTTAGCAGTTATTGATTTCATAACCAAGTTTATAATCACCTAGGAAAGAAGGGTATACTGTAAATTATGACTATAAGGCTGTTAAAATAATATCAAGCAGTTTTAAGTAAGCCTTGGAAAATATTACACACATATATACACACACACATATATAGGTACACACACACATAAACACTACTTGTATAAGGTTATATACTTAATTTGACCACATGATTTTAATGATTAAAGTATAATACATACTCATTGTGTTACTTTTTCCAGGGAATAAAGTTAAAGCTTTGACATGAATGAACAAGAAACTCTACCTGAAATAATCAAAGACTGGACCAAAGAGCATGTTAAAAAATGGGTAACTGAAGATCTTAAAATTGATGAGAAATATGGACAAATTTTGCTCAATGAAGAAGTGTCAGGATTAGTTCTGCAGGAACTAACTGAAAAGGATCTTAAAGAAATGGGGCTACCACGGGGTCCGGCACTTCTGATAAAACGTACATATAACAAATTGATTAATAGTTGCCCTAAAAATGACAATCAGGATTCAGCACAATCAGATCTTACAAAACCTTCCAAAAAAGAACAACAAAAAAAGCCAAAACAAACCAAAAAGGAGGAGGAAAAAATGTCATCCGGTATTGATCATGATCTCAGAGAGATCGGGGATACCACAGAACAACAGTCCATTCTTACGAAAGAAAGTGCATTAAGTGAAAGAACAAACACTAAAGATGAGAAAAAAAATGAACTACAGACTGAACAGTTGACTTGTATGTCATATCCTTTTGATCACTTCCATGACAGCCATCGCTACATAGAACATTATATTCTACAGCCTGAAACAGGACCACTGAATCTCATTGACCCAATTCATGAGTTCAAAGCTCTCACCAACACGGACACAGCCACAGAAGAGGACATCAAAATGAAATTCAGCAATGAGGTCTTCCGGTTTGCATCTGCTTGTATGAATTCACGCACCAATGGTACCATCCATTTTGGAGTCAAGGACAAACCCCATGGAGAAATCACTGGTGTGAAAGTCACCAGTAAGGATGCCTTCATTAACCACTTCAATCTAATGATCAAAAAGTATTTTGAAGAAAGTGAGATCAATGAAGCCAAAAGGTGTATTCGGGAGCCAAGGTTTGTGGAGGTCCTCCTGCAGAACAATACATTGTCTGACAGATTTGTCATTGAAGTTGACATCATCCCCAAATACTCTATATGTAAAGAAAAGTATTTCTATATTAAGATGCAATGCTGTACAGATAAAATGTGGAAACAACACCAAGATCATTCACTATTCATCAGAGAAGGAGCTAGCTCTAGGGATATCTTGGCCAACAGCAAGCAACGGGATATAGATTTCAAAAAATTTTTACAAAATTTAAAGTCCCTGGTAGCATCTAGAAAAGAAGCTGAGGAGGAACATGGGATGAAGGTGACTAAGAAAAAGAGTGAAGGATTAAAACTGGTTAAACTTCTCATCGGGAACCGAGAATCATTGGATAATTCCTATTACAACTGGTATATTCTTGTAACAAATAAATGCCACCCAAATCAAACCCAGCACTTAGATTTTCTTAAGGAAATCAAGTGGTTTGCTGTGTTGGAATTTGATCCTGAATCTGTGATCAATGGAGTGGTCAAAGTTTACAAAGAAAGCCGAGTAGCAAACCTTCACTTTCCAAGTCAGTACGAAGAAAAGACAGCTAGTGTGATGGAGAAGATTTCTACTCTGAATCTTTATGAGCAGCCCAGCTGGATCTTCTGCAATGGCAGATCAGACCTGCAAAATGAGACCTATAAACCTCTAGAACCACATTTATGGCAGAGAGATAGAGCTTCTGAAGTCAGAAAACTGATTTTATTTCTCACAGATGAAAATATAATGGCAAGAGGGAAATTTTTGGTGGTATTTCTCTTACTCTCTTCGGTAGAAAGCCCAGGAGACCCATTGATGGAAACTTTCTGTGCCTTCTATCAAGCTCTCAAAGGAATGGAAAATATGTTGTGTATCTGTGTAAACTCGAAGATTTATCAACGATGGAAAGATCTACTACAGACAAGATTGACAATCTCAGATGAGTTAGCAAACCATACTATTTCCACTTTAAATATAGAACTGGTAAACAGTACTATCCTTAAACTAAAATCAGTGATTCAGTCATCAAAAAGGTTTCTGCCCTCCAGAGGAGGTGCCTCAGTTATCCTAGAGAAAAAGGACGAGGATACCTTGGTCGCACTGGAAATCCTCTGTGAAAATGAATGTAAAGACACAGACATAGAGAAAGATAAGTCTAAATTCCTAGAATTTAAGACATCAAAAGAAGAACACTTTTATCGCGGTGGCAAAGTATCCTGGTGGAACTTCTACTTTTCTTCTGAAAACTATTCCTCACCTTTTGTGAAACGGGACAGATATGAAGACCTTGAACGTATAATAAACGAGTGTGCAGAATGTCCTAAACCACCCTTTGTGAAAATTATCAACCTTTATCACCATCCCGGCTGTGGAGGTACTACACTGGCTATGCATGTTCTCTGGGACCTAAAGAAAAAGTTCAGATGTGCTGTGTTAAAAAACAAAGCAACTGATTTTGCAGAAATTGGAGAACAAGTAAGCAAGTTGATCACCTACAAGGCAAACAGCCACCAGGATTATATTCCTGTGCTTCTCCTTGTGGATGATTTTGAAGAACAGGAGAATATCTACATTCTGCAGAATTCCATCCATTTCAATTTAGGAGAGAGAGGTTTGCTCTATGAAAAGACATTGGTAATTATCTTAAACTGCATGAGATCCAAGAATCCAGAAGAAAGCGCCAAATTAGCAGATAGTGTCTCCCTGAAATCCCAACTTTCTCCCAAAGAACAACGAGCTTTTGAGGTCAAACTGGAGGAAATTGAAAAGCAGCACAATAACTGTGAAAACTTTTATTCCTTCATGATCATGAAAGGCAATTTTGATGAAGCATACGTAGAAAATGTAGTAAGGAATATCCTCAAAGAACAGAACATCGACACCAAGGAAGCACAACTCGTTTCTTTCCTGGCTTTACTCAACACTTATGTTACTGATTCTACAATTTCATTGTCACAGTGTGAAATGTTCTTGGGAATTACATACACTAGAACCTTCTGGAAACCTGAAAGCCTAGAAGACAAGATGGGAACCTATTCTACACTCTTAATAAGCACAGAAGTTGCTGACTATGGGAGATACACAGGGGTGCGTATCATTCACCCTCTCATTGCCATTTACTGCCTAAAGGAACTGGAGAAAAGCTATCACCTAAATCAATGTCAAATTGCCTTGAATATATTAAATGAGAATTTGTTCTATGATTCTGGGATAGGAAAAGACAAATTTCAGCATGACGTGCAAACTCTCCTGCTTACAAGGCAGCGCAAGGAGTACGGAGATGAAACAGACACGTTGTTTTCCCCATTAATCGAGGTTTTGCAGAATAAAGAAATCGAAAAGGTCTTGACTGAAGGAAGTATTCGATTCCCACAAAATGCATTCATTTGTCAGGCCTTAGCAAGGTATTTCTACATTAAGGAGAAGAATTTTAACACTGCTCTGGACTGGGCAAATTTGGCCAAAAGACGAGCACCTAAAAATTCCTATATCTCAGATACACTTGGTCAGGTCTACAAAAATGAGATCAAATGGTGGTTGGATGAACACAAAAACTGTACAAACATTACTATCAAAGACCTAAGGCATTTCCTAGATGCTTCTGAAAAAGCCTCCAGAGCATTCAAAGAATCCCAACTGCAAACGGATAGTAAAGAATATGAGATTCAAACTTGGTCACCACAAAAGTCCCAAAGAAGGTATGATACATATAATACGGCTGGGTTCTTGGGTGAAATAGAAGTTGGTCTTTACACTATCCAGATTCTTCAACTCACTCCCTTTTTCCATTGGGAAAATGAATTCTCCAAAAAATTTATGGCCCAATTTCTATCTGGAAAGGAGAGCATTCCTCCTGATCCAAAAAATGAATATTATCTGGCTCTTAGCATGTACACATCCCACCTACAAAAGTTACAATCAGATTTGAAAAAGTGCTTTGATTTTTTTATTGATTACATGGTTCTCCTGAAAACAAGAAACACCCAAAAAGAAATGGCAGAAGTCATATTAAGCAAGAAAGTCAGTCGCTGTTTTAGGAAATACAAAGAAATTTTCTGCCATTTGGATTTAAGTCCTTTAGAAGGCAAAGAGTGTCAGTTACTCCAGGAGGAGAATTGCAGGAAAAGTCTAGAAGCTTTGAGAGCTGATAGGTTTTCTGGACTCCTGGAATATCTTAATCCAAACCACAAAGAGGCCGCAGCCATCATGGAAAGTATAGTCGATGAATACACTTTCCTGTTGCAGCAGAACCCAAATAAACGGCTGACGAAGGAGAAACAGAATTTCATTTTGGCCAACATCATTCTCAGTTGTCTAAAACCCAATTCCAAGTCCATCCAACCACTTACCAAGTTAAAAAAAAAGCTCCGAGAAGTCTTGCAATTCGTAGGACCAAGTCATCAGTATTCTGATCCTTATTTCTTGGCCTGCCTCCTGTTCTGGCCAGAAAACGAAGAACTAGATGAAGATTCCAAACAGATGGAAAAGTATGTTTCCTCTTTAACTAGATCTTTCCGGGGGCAGTACAAGCGCATGTGCAGGTCCAAGCAGGCAAGCACCCTTTTCTATCTAGGGAAGAAGAAGGGTCTCAACAGTATTGTTCACAAGGCTGAGATAGAGAAGCACTTCAGTAAAGAACCAAATATAAATGCCCTCTGGCAGAGTGGACGTGTGTGGGAAAAACAAGAAGTCAAAGATCTCCTGCGTCAGCTGATTGGTCAGGCTGAAGGCAAGTTAATCTCTATAGAATATGGAACCGAGGAAAAAATAAAAATACCAGTGACATCTGTGTACTCAAGTCCCCTCAGAAGTGGCAGAAATATAGAAAGAGTGTCCTTCTACCTAGGATTTTCCATCGAAGGCCCTATGGCATATAATGTAAAAGTGATTTAAAAAATGTATTAGTTCAAACATGTTTACTCATATCTGCCTAAGATTGTGTTCCTTCTCCCTATTACCACGGCATTTTCATGACATTGTTGGCTTAATTCTAGTATCATATTTTGCTTTGGTCTCTCTGAATGAATTATAAGCCTTTCTAGAAAATGAAATATGTTTACACCACAGAGCTCAACATACAGCCTAGTCAATTACTTAATATTTTAGACATGTATTTTCAAGCTAACACATTTAATTAAGAAGTTTTAAATGGTATCCAGTGGTCAGACCATAATTGTTTTATAGGTTAATAAAAAATCTATTTTAAATTCAATCATTTTTCAGAAATTTCTAAATTATTTCCTCACTGTGAAAGCAGGGATTTTACTAAGAAGAAACAATAACAACAACAAAAAACTCCTCCCATGTGTAGTGACCCAAAACCCAGAGAACCAGCCCCGAGTTCCACTCTCCTCATTTTGATGTCAGTAAAAACTCATGTGGGAGGTAAATATTTTGTTGTTCATTCTCCATTTTACTCCTTCCCAACACACACACACACACACACACACACACACACAACTGCTTGTACCCATTGCCCTCTCCCAACTCATAGCTTCAAGAGGGAAGCAGAGCTTAAAAATGATAATAATACCAATATTCACTAACTGGAAGTCCCTTAATTCACTTGCCTCATTTAGAGGTGAATCTGTTCCTTTGGTCATTCTTGTCTCTGGTGAATGTAGCCTTGTCTCCACCTGGTTTTTAGAACCCATATTCCCTATTCACTTTTTTCATTCACTGTACTTCATTCTCTTTACTTCTCAACGTGTGCTAGATGCACACTGTTCTCTTTGAGATTCCCTATGAAAATGTTATTTTCATGCAACATTCTCCAGATGATTATTCTGATTTGGCCTTCACAACTGGGTTCAAGACTCACTTCCACCAGGAAGTCTTTCTTGACCAGCAAAACATGCTCCTCACTTCCCAGCCAGCAATGACATCCCAGAAGCTCATTCTCAGACCTGCAGCAGCCACAACAGTCTCACACTGCCTGCTGCAGCCAACAGACATTGAAATAACAAACACATTCAGTTATCCATATCTTTATATCTCCTTAATTGTAACTTGATAGTACAGTCTTCAAGACCAGTTCTTCTTGTCATCAAGGAGTCTATGTCCTATCAGGGTTCTTGTCACCAGTATTTCTATGAATCTGGGGAATGAATGTTCACATGGTCCACAAACACATCCCTGTTTCTGGAAACCAAATCTGCTGCTAAGCCTGTACCAAAAAGCTCCTTCCCTCATCTACAGTCAGCCCCAAGTGTTCATAGACCTATGGTCACAGGCCTATCCCTTAATTCTTCACAACTCAGAAAAGACCAGGCCACAGTATTTAATAAGACACAGCTGAAGGCTCAACGCACAGAGGGAAAGTTACAATTATAATAAAATGAGAAAACAATGTTCATGTGAGTCATAACCGTCAGAGTTCATATGCTTGGCCCTCCACCAGGTTTCTCAGGGCCTCTCTCTCCTGAGCCGTTTCAACAGCATGTGGTAGAGCGGTCCTTGCTCAATTCTCACAGATGAGACAAGGCCTGAACATGTATCCATGACTCAAAGTTTAGGCTGCAAATCCTCTAGGTTCCCAGAAACAATTACGTTTTTCCAGAAAAGAAATATCATATGCAGAGATTTCACCTTAACCCAATAAGAAGGTTTTACATATTATGCAGAGACATTCAACTTCCCATTTCAGAGCAGTCTTTCCTTTATTCTTATTAAAGAATCAAAGAGCTCATTAAAATGCTTTACTCTGAAGAAGAGAAGTTCATTGGATTAGAAAAGGAGAATGAAGGAAAGGATGGGGGGGGGGACAGAAACAGAAAAGATAAGAGAATGAATTGGACATGACTTCCCTATGTTCTTGTATGAATACATCAAATACAACCACAAGAATGGAAAGTTATATTCCATGTATGTATAATATGTCAAAATACACTCTATTGTCACATGTCTCTAAAAAGAATAAATTAAAAGAAAATTCTAAAAAAAAAAAATGTTTGACCCCAAACAGAGTCTTCCTTCAGAGGTAAATTTATGTTCTATCTACAGAAAAACTTACACAGTTGTCTCAAATTCCATTTCATCCTATCAGACCATCTGTTCCAACAATCCTGGAGTCTCACCTCTGCTCAGGAAAGTCCATTAAAAATAAATAAATACAGTAATTTTCATCTAATTCTTTTCTGAAGGCTACTTCTATTTTCTTGTTCCAGAGTTGCCATCAGGGAAATTTGAGAGTTAAAAAAAAAATTACTAAATTGAATATTTACTGGTTCACGTACATAATCTAGTGCTTCTTTCCTCAACTCCCTACTCATAAGGACTCAAGGCCTTCATATCATCTCCAGCCAGCCCCACCCACACTAGTAAATTAACACAACAAATAGTTATGCCAATAGGTCTTATAATTTGTAAACAGATTAAACCAAGACAGTTGGTGGGGGAAAAACAAACAAACAAACAAACAAAAAATACTTAGAAAACAAGCCTCCAATGCAAGCCTAACTCTGCTCTGTCATCCACCCAGGTAGTCTACCCAGGTAAGGTAGTACGACCATTTCCTCATTGGTGAGCTGAGGAAAATAAACTGTTTGCAATTACCTAAAGAGGATAAATTTCCTATAAATGAAATTATACAATATGTGGCCTTTTGTAATTGTCTTTTTTCACTTTAGTATGTTTTCAAGATTTACCCATGTTGTATTGTATATCCATATTTCATTCCTTTTTTTCTCTTTTTTTCTTTTTTTTTTTACTTCCAAACAAAAGTCTATTCTATGACTACACCACATTTTCTTCATCTAATCATGAAGGGCAATTACTTTTACCAAGCGTGAAATTGATGTTGTTCTATTGGTATCAAGTTCACTTAGGCCTTCTGCAAGTTAAACACTAGAAGCTATTTTTATCACTCCACTTTAGTCTCTGGCTAAGTGAGCCTTCATCTAACCACACAACCTCAGTTTTCCCTCAGTTACTCCTGACCTCATACTCACTTTTATATACATAGGCATGTTGCAGTGTATCAATTTATATAATTTTAAGGAAAACCTACATTTCCCTAATAGTTGGAAAACTACCATCTTGGAAGCAAGAAATTGAACAGTAAAATAAAAAACAAACAAAAAAAATCCAATTTTTTTTAGCTTATTACTGAAGCCCAAGTTAAATGAAAAAAAAAAATCATAGGTTGAGAGGTTTTTTTAGACAAGTTGAAGTATTTTATTTTTAAAATTTTATTTGAGAAAGAAAAGATTATTCCCAATTATTGTGTCTTAGTCTGTTTTCTATTGCTAGTAGCATAATGCCACAGACTAAAGGGAAGGGAGTGGGCAGGGGGTTAGCAATGATGGTGGAGTGTGATGGACATCATTATCCAAAATATGAAGACACGAATTGGTGTGAACGTATTTTTATATACAGCCTGAGGCAGGAAAAAAATGTGCTCTATTTGTGTAATATGAATTGTAATGTATTCTGCTGTCATTTATTTTAAAAAATCAATTAAAAAAGAAATTTTTTATTAAAATTAAAAAAAAAGAAAGGAAGTTTATTTTAAATCTCAGTCCTGGTCCAAGATCAAAGGGCCACATCTGGCTAAGTGAGCCTGGTAATGGCTTTCTTTACAACAAAGTCCTAAGGCTGTAAAGGGCATCATATGATGAGTGATGGGGAATGTGATAGGCCTTGCCAAGTGGCTTTTATAGCAGACCCACTCTTGAGGAGAGCCCATTAACTCACTAATCCATAATAATCTGTATGAACAGATTATTCCATTGAGGGAAGAGCTGTCCTCAGCACTTACTGGTCCCACCTGGTCCCACCTCTTAACCTCTCACAATAGGGAATCAACATGACTTTCTGAAGAGAAAAACCACCTTCAAACCACAGCAGTATCCAACACTCCTGAGTGATCTAAGAGCCAGGTTGGCTCCTATAAAGACTGTGAATCCCATATTGCAAGGTCTCATGAAAGATGAATAAATATAGACCCTTTAGACCAGCAGATCTCTTACAGAACAGTCATTCTGTTCCAATATGAATGATATTTCCTCAAAATTCATGACTAGATAAAGAGACTGGGTTAGAAAAAATTAAAAGTATATTTTCAGCTTGGTATCATTCTGAAGGGACATTGGTATGTTAGTTTGGAAATACCTGTGACCTGACATATACACCCAATATTGAATTTGTAATCATGTGTTTAGTATTTAGAGTCACAGACTCTTAAAGAGACATGTAGCAAGAAGGAAAAAAAATTAAGAGAGGTCAAAGGTTTCTGCTTAAAGTTGAATAAATAAAGCATACTCATGAATGCTCCAAGTCTAACCAATTTAAAAAAAAAAAAACTTTCTGTGGAATAGAGATTTTTTGTCCAAACATGCCTAGTCCCTGTGTCAAACAAAGTTAGACCTGTCAGGTGAATATTTGGCAATGTTGTATCTGCAACTCATACAATCCAAGCCAATTCCTGGAGGGAGTCAGCTCTTCAAGGACCTTGTGTGTACAAAGATTAAAGATGTCTACTGGCTATAAATCATCATAGGAATATCCAACTTACTCTTACAGTCTTAGAAAGTGCTAAATGGCACTCAAATTGTGTCATGATGAACCATGTATAAGCCCATACAGAAAGAAAAATAAATAATAGAGAGTTAATAGGCAAGATCCAAAGGTTCTGCTATTATTTAAAAGATATCAACTATGTGTAAAGGAGCAAGATCTTCCTGGAATGACACAATATCCATATGTGACCCTGAGATGTCACTTTGCCTTGTTCTTCCAACAAGATGTTTTAAACATCTAAGTGCCCACTGGATATGTACAAAGCAGATTAATTTTTGCTGCCTTCTCTTAGGAGTTTCAAATGATATTCATTGCAGATAGTGTAAAACTATATACATTCAATTACAAGTGCCACGTCTAACCACTCCTAAGGTGGTAAGCACATGCTAGAAAATTCTAACATCTGGTCAGTTATTTTGGCTATCAATTAAACCCAAACAGAAGTTACTCTCAGATATGTAGAGAAAATTTGTACATGACTGGCAGCCTCAGGCTCTTGATATTGAGGTGATCAGTATCATTATTTCTTTACTCTTCCACTAGCCAAGTGAACTCCTGATCTCATGTTGACTTGTGCAGCGGCCTGACACAAAGTTTCACCATGCATCTACTCCTACAGATTTGTCAAATATTTTGTCAACACTTTACCTTTAATATGTATGTACTCCCATTTTACTTTCAGAGGTATAGCTGAAATAAGGTTATCAGAATAAGGAAAAGAGAGAATGGTGGAATTTTAACAACTCTGAAACTGGGTGTTGGATACAAAAGGGTTCATTATGCTATATTTTTACCTTTGAAATTTCCCAAATATATGGTGTTTTAAACTATGCTATCAAAAGTATGTTTAATGATGTGATAAAATTTAATCTATATTTTGCTTAGTGGCAAAATAAAAACTTAGATGCTATATTAGTTATCTTTCTCTCACTTTAACAAAGTACTTGAAATAGTCCACTTACAAAGAAAAAATGTGGGGTTTTTTGGCTCACAGTTTTAGAAGCCTCGGCCCATTATCAGTTGGTCCCATATCTTTTAGGCCAAGTGATGAGGCAGCACATCATAACAAGATCACATAATGCCGCAGTCTGGCTGGGCACAATTCAGGAGCCACT